CCCCCCCCCCCCCCCCCCCCCCGGGCTGGGCAGGAAGAGGGCAGAGCTCTGGCAGCGCCCGCGGGGCAGATAAAGGCTCCGAGCTGGACAGGGCTGTGCCAGGACAGGGCTGTGCCAGGACAGGGCAGGGCTGCCACCAGTGCCACCAGTGCCACCATGGCCCTGCCAGTGCCACCAGAGCCACTCTGGCCATGCCAGTGCCACCAGACACACCATGGCACCTCCAGTGCCACCAGTGCCACCAGTGCCACCCTGCTCCTGTCAGTGCCACCAGTGCCACCCTGACACCTCCAGTGCCACCATGGCACCTCCAGTGCCACCAGAGCCACCAGTGCCACCCTGGCCCTGCCAGTGCCACCAGAGACACCCTGACACCTCCAGTGCCACCAGCGCCACCAGAGCCACCCTGGCCCTGCCAGTGCCACCACAGCCACTCTGGCCACACCAGTGCCACCAGTGCCACCCTGGCCCCCACCGGTGCCACCAGAGACACCAGTGCCACTTTGGCCCTGCCAGTCCCACCAGTGCCACCCTGGCCCCACCAGTGCCACCATGGCACCTCCAGTGCCACCAGTGCCACCCTGTGTCTTCCTGCCACTCCCCCTGTGTCCCCCAGGCCACCACGGCCACCACAGCTACGCTGTGCCCACGACTTCATGTGCCCCCTTGCCACCACCGTCACCCTGTCCCCACCTGAGCCACCCCACCCACCCTGTCCTTGGCCCCCACAGCCCCTGGGTGTCCCCCTGTCCCCCAGACGGTTGTCCCTTTGTCCCCTGCTGGGTGTCCCCCCATCCCCCATCCCCCCTGATGGGTGTCCCCCCCATCCCCCCTGCTGGGTGTCCCCCCATCCCCCATCCCCCCTGATGGGTGTCCCCCCCATCCCCCTGCTGGGTGTCCCCCATCCCCCCTGACGGGTGTCCCCCCTGCTGTGCCCCCCCCAGGATGGCGAACCGGGGCCCGTCGTACGGGCTGAGCCGGGAGGTTCAGCAGAAGATCGAGCGGCAGTACGACCCCGAGCTGGAGCAGCTGCTGGTGCGCTGGATCCTAAATCAGCTGGGCCCCGACACGGCCGGCCCCGCCCAGCCCGGCAGGGACGGCTTCCAGCAGTGGCTCAAGGATGGCACCGTGAGTGCCCCTGACCCTATAACTGATCCTACAGCCCTGACCCCATAACTGACCCCATAGCTGATCCCATAGCCCTGACCCTATAACTGACCCTATAACTGACCCTATAACTGACCCTATAACTGACCCCATAACTGAGCCTACAGCCCTGACCCCATAACTGACCCCATAGCTGATCCCCCAGCCCCGCCCAGCCTGGCAGGGACGGCTTCCAGCAGTGGCTCAAGGATGGCACCGTGAGTGCCCCTGACCCTAAAACTGACCCTATAACTGATCCTACAGCCCTGACCCTATAACTGACCCCAGAACTGACCCCAGAACTGATCCTACAGCCCTGACCCCATAACTGACCCCATAACTGATTGCCCCCACAGATCCTGTGCCGCCTCATCAACAGCCCTGACCCCGTAACTGACCCCATAACTGATCCCATAGCCCTGACCCTATAACTGACCCCATAACTGCCCCTATAATCACCCCACAGATCCTGTGCCGCCTCATCAACAGCCTCCACCCCCGGGACGGCCCGGCAGTCCCGAAGGTTCAGGGCTCGGCCATGGCGTTCCGGCAGATGGAGCAGATCTCGCAGTTCCTGCAGGCGGCCGAGAGATACGGGATCGCCCCCACGGATATATTCCAGACTGTGGATCTGTGGGAAGGTGGGATTGGGGTTATGGGATCGGGATTGGGGTCAGGGATGGGGTTATGGGGTCAG